AAATTTTTGTTGAATACTTTTATTTAATAAAAAAATTTTAATTATTATTTATATATTATATTAAATTTCATTTGAAATTCATGTTAAAAAAATAAAAAAAATCAAAATAGGTTTATAAAAAGTGAACGAAGGGAGTAATATTTTCTAAAAAGCTTATTGATAATGCTTAGTGAAGATTTTTTTAAAGTCTAGTAGGTATTTATTTGAGAATTTTAAAATTTTAATGAGGATTTTAGTTATTATTATTTTAAGATTTTAGGGACCCTAACATTAATTGAGGTTTGTACCACCCTAATATTTTAGATTTATTCTCTGTTCTTTTATTTTATAGAAATTTATTTCCTATTTTATTAACAATACGACCCTAACATAATATTAATTGAATTTATACTGTAGATTATTATATAATTATATATTATAATATTTTATATTTATTTCTTATTTTATTAATTTATAGAATTGAATTACATTTTTAAGGATTGATTTTTTTAAAGTTTATTAGATTTTTTTGAGAATTTTAAGTTTATTAAGTATTTATTAAAGATTTTTTAAAGTTCAATGAATAATTATTGAAAATTTAATAAGTATTTATTTAAAAATCTAAAAAAAAAAATTGTTAAAGCACTTAGTTAATATTCTCGTTCTTTTTCTCTCTTCAGCTTTTCTCTTTTCTTGCATTTTTTTTTATTAATCTCTTAATATTCAAAAATCATATTGAATCCGAGTAATTTAAAATTGAATTATATCATATCTATAAAAAAAAATTCTCTTAACATTTATTTCTTCATTTATAATACTCAAATTTAAGATTTTACTTTAGGAAAATAGACCTCTTTCTTCTCGAATTAATAGGTCCCCTGCATTCTTTGTCCATGCTTCTCTCTTCCTCCTTATTTTCCCCTTCCCTCTTTTTCTCCTCACCCTACTCCCTCCTTTCTAAACCTAGGTTTAGGTTCGAATGAACCTAGAGTCGAACCTTGATCACTTGCTTCGTTTGAACCTAGATTTGGGTTCAAACAAACCTAGATTTTGTGTTGTTACAGACCCAGAACTAGTTTTTTTAACCCAATTTTCTGGGTTTTCAAATTCAAATTTCCAAGTTCCTTGGATTAATCGGAACCCAAATTCCTGGGTTTTGATTTTTACTTTGTGCTATTTGAAACTCTCCTGATTTTGATTGCTGGATTTGGACGAAAGGGGCATGCAGGAGGCAATGATCTAGGTTTTTAGACACTTTGGGAGGTGGAGGCTGAGAGAGACAGTGGTGGACGTGGTGGTGCCAGCCAATCTTAATTAGATGCAGACTAGGGACTTTAGTTGTATTCGGGATATATATATATATTTTTTTGAATATTTAGGATATATTTGGGTAAAAATTAATAAAGAAAGGAGAAGGGAGGAGAGGGAAGAAAAAAAGAGTAAAGGGTTAATTATAATTTTGTTTGAATAGATTAAAAAAATAAGAGAGAGGGAAAGATTATATTTTTTATTTAATTAAATAAATTAAAGAAAAATAATTATAAAATTAAGTAAAATTTTATAAATTTATGTATTAAAATTAACATTAAAATATAAATTTTATTTTTATTTTTGAAAAAAAAAATCGAATTCCCTCAAATTAAAGTGATTAAAATAAAAAATTTGGAGAGAGTCTATTCCCCCTCCATCTATCTCATTTAGAGAGGAGAGGGTTTTCCTTCACTCTCCCCCTCTCCTCACCTTCTTCCTTAACTCCTTTCAATCCAAATAAAGGCTAAGGTTGTAATGAATTATATGAAGAAATTATAGAATC